ATAAAAGAAAATCCCATCCCTTCCAAATTCATTCTTCGAAAGGATCGTTGCCCGAATTGTTGCCCAAATTGTTGCCCGAAATCGTTGCCCGAATCGTTGCCCAAATCGTTGCCCGGTTTTGCGCTTCGCCGTGTCTTTGGCCCGTGTATTTTCCCCTTTCTCAAGCCCTTTATAAAATTCTGTAGCTTTGAGGACCACTTTGACCCAATTTGGTCAGATTGTGTTTTTGACTGTTTTACCAACGTTATTTTACTATATTTTTCTATTCTATTCCTATTTTACTATATTTTTCTGGAGTCTTCAAGCATGATGAATCTATTAATAATATTTTTAGAAAGCTCTGAACAATTTTTATTGATATTTTGATAAGCTAGCTCAATTTTTGCCTATGCAGTGTTGCTAAGCGTAAAAATGAAAAGAGCGTAAAATGAAAAGAGGGGCAAAATACAAAGCGATAGCTTGTTCAAAATGTTCTAGAAATCGTCAATCGATGAAGCTTATTTGATTACTCCAGAAAATGCAAAACAGGACTAAAAAACGCCTGGAAAAAGGGTCTGACCAAGTCGGATCAAAGTGTTTATTCGTTTATTGTTAAAACTTCCCTCCTCCTTTTATTGTTTCCACCGCTCATTCCGTGTTTCTTTTAAATTTGTCAAAGTTTTAGCGCTTTTATACTTTTGCTGGCCTTTCCACTTTGTTGGTCTTCGGACCCGTGTCTTTCATATCACCGATAAAGATAAAAATCTAAATTTCTTTATAAATGCCAGTCAATCCAACCCAGCCGCGAATCCTCTTGTTATTCCTCTCGTTTTGGCAAATCATTTGGAATTAGTGTTTTTGGGTTAGATTTAGCAGTTTGAGTAAAATTTCGACCCAGAATTTGGATGTTTGGAACCGTAACACGTTAATATTCGATTTTTAGGGTACAAGCATCAAGATCAAATGCCCACGGAAGAATTTCGACAAGAAACGAATATATTGGACGAAAGACGGGCGACGGATACGAAATGACGGTGGGGCTATAAGCTGTAATAGAAAAATTAAGGCAGAGATTTAACGTTTAGCTAGGTAGCTACACCTTTAAAAATATCAAGCTTTAGCTCACATCAAAGTGTCGGCGAATGGAAATCTTCGGATCAAGCATGCGCGGCTCGAGGACGCTGGCACATATGAGTGTTTCACTGATTCGATACAGGTTAGATTAATGTTATGAAAGTATTCTGATATATCTATTGTATTCGATTTGGATTGAAACATTATTGCACTGTAGGGTATCATGTTTTTTTAAATTTTGAATCATTTTCTAGAAATTTCATAGAAGTTTAACTCTGGAAACCTAGAACAGCCTGTTAGCACCACATTTTGCCGAAAAAAAGACTTTCCTGCATTTTACTGTGAATGTTGCTTACTTCTTTACTGTGAATTCAAAGCAAAAAAACCCTTTTTTTATTTAATCAGCGCCAACTTTATCGTAAATGCAAAGAATCATAAGCAATAAAATAGTAGACAAATTGATAAAACTAAATCTTAAACAAAAGATAAACAATATAACCAAACAAAACATGGGAAAAGCCTATTGGTTCTAGCAACTAAGGCAGAAGTGAGACTACATCTGTAAAACAATAACGGAAAATAGGTGTAAACAGCATAAAAACATAAACAAAATGCAAAAACATATCAAAACGAGTAAATAAACTATTTTTTTCGGCAAAATTTGGTGCTAACAGGCTGTTCTAGGTTGCCAGAGTTAAACTTCTATGAAATTTCTAGAGAATGATTAAAAACATTTAAAAATGATACCCTACTGTGCAATAATGTTTCAATCCAAATCGGATACAACATATCCATATGCAATACATTTCCAGGGCAATGTCACTCTTCATTTCAAGTATCGAGACGATGAAGCGACTCTGATCAATGTGAGCTTTCCTGGAATCTCTATCAAATCCCTTTTAGCAAAGTCTTTCCAACAATCGACTCGATCAATCAGCACATCCAAAACATTCTCGTCTATATAATATCTCTCGATTACAGGTAGGATTAGGCTATGTTCACTTGGGCTATTATCGTTTCCAGAATCTCCTCTCCGAGATCTCTAATGGAGAAGAGTTGGCAAAAGAGTTGAAACCGTTCCATTTCCTCTACAAGGTAAGCCTTGAGGTTACTTTATATCTATGTATAGAACTTTAAGAAGATCAAACTTTAAAAGCTATCCTTTTCAGGCTCACTACGACATCGGCGCTTGGAGTGATTGTCGACAGAAAACGTGCGGGGTTCACGGATTTCAGGTGAGATTTTGAAATCGAAGTTCAAAAGATTATAAAGATAAAGTTCAGCTCTAATAATTCAAATCATTAGGTTCGTGATGTCTCGTGTCTTCTCGTGATTGAGGGTGGAATTACAAAAAGGGTCGATCAAGCAGTTTGTCTCTCGAATAATTCCCCTCGTCCACCGAATACCCGTCCATGTCAACAAATGAATTGTCCAAAATGGGAGGCAAGCGAATGGACTGAGGTTTGTTGCTTGTTATTGCTAATAAATAGTTTCATTCACTTAAAACCAACAAATTCACCAATTGAACTACTATTTGTTTCATAAGAAAGGTCAATTATTTATAGAAAACCATAGGTTAATTGGTGGATTTGTTATTTTTCAACGGAAATATTAAAAGGAACGAAAAGACTTTCTGGATAGCCTTAATACAGTACTGTAGACGTACTTTACTTTACATGGTATTATGTTGTACTTGACATTATGTAATCCCCTTCAGTGTACCCTTTCCCGCTGTCTCCGTGACGGTGTCGCTCAACAGAGACGATCCCTCCGTTGTTTATCTCAAAACGGAACCGAGGTTGACGCTGAGCAATGTGATCGATCGAGTCGACCAAAACCGAAGAAAGAATGCGAAAATCGTAAGTGGGCGTAGAAAACGAGAAAACAAGAACACGTTTAGCCAAATGCAAAGCCGAGTGGCGAACAAGCGAGTGGGGAACATGTACACAAACGTGTGGAACTGGCGGCGTACAGGTGATCGAACGAACGCTCGCGCACTGAAACAAAACGCATCATGCCATGCAAAACTTTTTGTGTTTTCAATTCAAACTTCCCCATGTTTCAGCTCCGAATGTTGCAATGTGTCTGGGCTACAAGTGGTAAAGCGGCCGGTAGATCGTGTGAGGGAATCAGAAGACCGCCTGCTGCTCGCCCATGTCCACAAGTAAGCATTCATGCAAAGATATTAGGTCTTTGACTTAAGCCGGTTCACTTACCCGGCAAAGAACTGAATGTCTCAATTCCTCATTAATAACATGTAGAGTGTGTTCCCCGCGATCAATTAATCGATTAAAGTTGGACGATTAAGATTTCAATCTGTTACGACACAATCCGACAGAATCGGATTCTGTCATCAGAATCGGACTTTGTCGTCAGGATCCGATCACAAATTATCTTGTGGTCGGATTTTGACGACAAATCCGACCATTTTCAAGATAAGTGCTAATTAGCGGGGTCTTAGTCAAGTTAAGTGCTAATTAAGTAATGCTACTATTACGGTATTACGGTAGCAACAAACAACAATTATTTGTTCGTGTAGCTTTTCGAAGGATGATCTCTCGAGTTGCAAAGCAGAACATTCTAAAATAATAAGATCAATGAAAAAATTAAAAAACAGGAAATGTACAATTGCAAAATAAAGCTTAAAAACAAACGATTTTGTGGTAAATCAAAATATTCAGTCGAATGAATGGATTTATCTTGAATCTGATCGGATTCAAGATAAATCCATTCATTCGACTGAATATATAACATAACATGCATTTCAGTCCGGTCAACTCCCATCCTGCCCGGCCAGTCCACCCACCGCTCTTCCACTTCGAGGTTGGCGCGGATGGAGTCGATATCGATCTCCTTTTTAAGGAGATATAGAGAAAATCAGTGACATGAAGGCGAATCGCTTCATTCAGTTTCTTGTTGTCACCAAGCTTCTACAGTAACTTCTGGATGAAGATACTATAGAAGGCTTTGCATGAGTGCAAAGATTTTAAACCAAATGGCTTCTAACTTCTTAAATCTTCTTCAAGCTCTTTGAATGAACGCAATTTCTATCACTTTTCAAAGCATGAATCAACAGCCCTAACTGTAAAAGCATGTTTCATTTTCAATTTTTCATTTCAGATGCATCCTGCGAGGATCTTTCCCGTTTTTGCGACATCATTAAACTTTTTCACTCGTGAGCAACTTTTTCACTTTTTCACTCAATTTTAACTCACGCTTACCATTTCAAGTTTCGATTTCAAAAAACAACTAACTTTTACAAAACAAAACCGTAAACAACGAAAAACTAAATAGAAAATAAGCCATTTCAAATCAACTATCCCAATTCCTAGCTATCTAACCCATCTTTTTTTGCATTTCAGATGTGATTCGGATGAGGTGAGACAGCGCTGTTGTGCGACGTGTGCCCGTGTGGAATACAAGAAAAGACATTAGACACAATCAATCAATCAATCAATCAATCAATCAATCAATCAATCAATCAATCAAACGAGATCAACAGCTTCGGCACTCTTTCACTTTTAGATTCTCTAACCAATTTTTTTTTCTATATTCTTTAAAATTTATTGTAGTAACATTTTACAGATTTTTTTTCTAACAGCTTTTAACATTTTAAACTTTTAAGACCAAACCTGTCTATTTGTTTTTTTTTCTAAACTTGTCACAATTTCTCTCGAATTATCCTGCTTTCCGATACACTGCCTTTCACTGAAAAAAAATTGTCCAAATTGTCCCCAACCATTTCAAAAGCTCATTGTCAGAGATGTTTCTGTAAAAAGTAATGATGAAAAATACGGTAGTCATTTTGTTATTTTTTTTTGTATAGTAGCGAAAACTTTTATCTAAATAAATTATTTTTTAAATTTCAAATATCACAACAAAAAACTTTCAACAAAATAACAAGAAAAGTACACAGTAAACAGTAACACTATCAACAAACCGTCCTAATCGCTGATGAAGAAATTCTCAAAACCCTCGATCACCTCGTCGTCAATCCCCGTTTCAGACTGAATCTAGAAAAAAAAGTGTTCATTAAATGAGAAAAATAACCGATATTTTAAAACAAACCTTTGGAACGTGATGCTTTATCGTTTGTGCCAAATAATTTGTCGCTTTCGCGAGAGCTCCCTTTCGTCGTAGCTCAACCGCGTGTTTATAGGCAGGCTCGGTGGGCGGTTGAACAGGCTCACGATAGATGTATCTAAAAAGAAAATTTGACAAAGGTTATGTATAATATTACTGCAGCTTCAAATGCTCAAAAGCACCTTTTAGCTTTTCCAGAGACCGAAATAGCGCTTACTTTTCTGGCAAAGGTCCAAGTAGATCATCGATGTCGAGTGGGTAACACCTAAAAGTCAGTTTAAAAGATTAAATTCAAGAAGTTATGTAAAGTTTAGTAAGTGTTTTTCATCAAAACAAAATACCTGTCTGAATCCCATCCATGCAAATCGCCACACGCGACAAAAGGCACTATTCGTTGATTTATGGGCGTTGATTTCTCAAGATCCTCTAAAAGGAAAATAAACACGTGAAATCGGGAAAAGATCTTTTAAATCCACCATAAGTCGGTAAACGAAGAGGATTCCACATTGATGGCACATAATCGGTTGGTGGATTGTAGCCCAAGCATACGACAAATGCTTCTAAACTCAAAATGAACAAAAATCACGCTTCAGTTTATTGCCAGCCTACGGTTATATGGAATTCTTAATGATTGTTACAAAGAGTTATCTCATATTTTTAAAGCTCACCACAACTGCTTTGACGACTGCTTTTCGGTTTGGCACAGAAAACATCACGGAAGAACATCTTCAATTGGGCGTAGAGTAGGGTGATGTTTCGTGCTCGGAAAATCTAAGAAAAATAAGTATAGAAAAGTTTCACTAACTAACTATTAGGCTGTTCAGAAAGTCTTTTCGTTCCTTTTCGCTCTTTCACTTAAAACCAATAAATGCATCAATTGAACTACGGTTTGTTTCATTAGAAAGGCCAATTATTTTTCTGCAAAACGAGTCTAAAATGTCTTATGTCTGGATTTTTTTGGGATTGTGAAGTTGGGTAGTCAAAAAAGACCCATGGCTCGATGATGCAATGACATTTTAGCTAAGGAAACCTATCTCGGTGTCAATAGATAAAAAATAGAGCACAAAAAGTTAGGTACATAGCGAAATTTTCAGAGAAATTGATTCAGCCAATTTCTTCGTGGAGGTTTTTATAGATTTTTACGAAAAACACGTTTTCACTCTCGAATTTGCTTGAAAGTGAACCGAAATTGACTTAAAAAGATAGGAAATTAAACAATAAACTCTTTTTATTCAGGGAAAACCATAGGTTAATTGATGAATTTGTTGATTTTAAACAAAAGTATGAAAAGGAACGAAAAGACTTTCTGGAGAGCTTAATAAATACCTTTGCAACAAAATTGCCCTCTCGTTTTAGCACATGTGTTGTGATATTCAGTGCCTAAATTAAGACAAGGTTAGTCCTTTAAAAAGGGGCCAACTTACCGCAAGAACTAGCTGACTTTGCATATATTCATCAAGCGAGTGCAAACCAGTAACTAAATAAAAATTTTTTAATCAAATAGAATTTCTGTTACCATCTGGAGCTCCATCGCAAATTACGAGATCGGCATTTTCTCCGTCAAAATGAGAGATTATTTTCTCGGCTGTTTCAAGCTAAAGTTTATCAAATGAAAAATGGCTTAAATTTGACTCTCGACCTGGGTAATGTCGCCTTGTAGTTGAATGACGCCGGGTAGAGGCGACATTGGCTGTAAATCGACGGCCACAATTCGCGCATTTTGATCATTCTGCAAAGTTTAAAGTTTAAAACATTTTTCTAAGCATTTTCTCTAAACAACTGTTTAAAACAGTTGGTTTTCAAAGTTAGCTAAAGAAAGACAATACTTAGATTTGCTAAGCCGAGATAGAAACCCTTAATCCATTAAATGTTTACCTCAAACAAACGACGAGACAAAACTTGACTCCAACTTCCCGGCGCTGCACACAAATCGACGGCTTTTGTTACTCCTAAAGATAAATAAATAAAACAAACTCGTTAACAATTTAAACTTAAACTTTAAACAAAATTTAAACATTTTTGAAATGTTTTTTCTGATTTTCAGAAAACATGATTCTTTTACATACAGTCAAACCTCGATTTAACGATTCTCAAGGGACGGGATTCTCCATTGTTAAATCGAACGTCTTTATAAGGTAAATAGCTTTCAAGGGACCAAAAATTAACATCGTTAAATCGAGGTTTGACTGGTTTGACTCCTTAATCAGTAAACACAATGCTTCCAACCTGATAAAATCTTAAACTCGTCATCGATTTGCATCAATTTGAACGCCGATCGTGCTCTCCACCCTTCCGCTTTCGCCAATCGATAGTAGATGTCACGTTTATCCTTTGACGTTTTCCCCATCACGGTGTCACTAAAGAAAAAAATATTAAGTTTGAACGATTAATAACAATAATACAACAAAGCAAAAGTATCGCTTTTTTGATTTCAATTTAATTTAAACATTTTCTAAAAGTTAATTCTAAAAAATGTCTTTTTGCAAAACCCTATGATTAGCAATAGCTCAATTCAATTACAGAAAGAAATGCAATTGAATTGAGTCTTAAAAAGGGCATCTAAAATTGTGAGAGATATAACTGGAATAAGCGTTCACAAGTACTAAGACGTAGCTACATCATTTATCCAGCGCAAATTCAAAACAAATATTTAAGCGTTTATTGCAAAAAAAATAGTTTCATTTCATCAAATTAATGATAAATGTTAAACTGTTCATTCGCAAAATGATAGTAAAATTGTGATTTATTTGTTGTTTGAATCGAGTCTCATCATTGCCGTTTTCTGCTCTCCATCAAGTGTTTAAAATACACACGATGGACAGGGCTGCGATTCCAAGTGATGCCAACAACAACACTAAAAGAGATGTTGTGAATGCAGATTTAGACTGTGAAAAGAGTAACTTTGATAACAAATTAAAACAAATAAGTACTCACCACAAAGTATCACTTGACACACGGTCAATACGACGCACGCAATCCAGAAAAGATAGCTTTTACTAAAGTATCCAATATTGAAACATAAACGCAGAAATTTGCCTTGATTTTCGTCTTTAACGTCTTTTGTCCAGCTTTAACATCTTTCGACCTTGGATTCACCTTCTTTCTGTCCTTCTTTTTCTGCTTTGGCTTCCTAAAGAATAGAATATTATTTTATTATTTAAAGAATATTCGTCAAAACCTGTCAAAACTTTAAACATTAAAGCAACGAAATTTACTCAAATAATCCTACTACTCAAGACCTTGGAGCAATTTTTTAGAAAGCTGATGCTCCCTTTTAGTGGTTATCAAGATCACAGCTTCTCAAGTCATGCTATGATCAATTGACAATAACAAAAATTTACTTACGAATAGTGGTTTGTCGCTTTCGTCGATGTTTGCTTGCCTTTTCCTCGTTTTTTCGATTTCTGCACGCAAGTTTTTGGCGGTTCCGTCGAGTCGAGGTTCAAATCATCGTCATCACGATCGAGCTGGTCTAAAATATCAGTAATTTATAACAAGGCATGAAATGGGCAAAGGTAGTTGAGCCAATAAACTGACATGTTGAAATTTTACACTGAAGGCTTTTAATGATGCTGAATCGAATTTTCAAAGTATGATTTCTTGTTATTTTGATGTTATGGCTTTTATATTTTTCTATTTCTTGTTATTTTGATTTTACAAGAATGCAACAATAATTTTAATAATAACAATAAAACAATGGCAACAAAACATTTAAAACAAAGGATATTTTTGGCAACTTCATCCCAGAAGAGGTACAGCAAGCTTCCAAAGTTATGCTGCCAAAGCAAGCTTCTAAAGTTATGCTGCCATTTCCACAAGACTTCATATATAAAGAGAAATAGTTTGCAAATATCACCAATCGATTCAGCATCATCAAAAGCCCGCAGTGTAAAATTTCAACATGTCAGGACGAATTTTAGTCTGTCAACATGTCAAGACGAGACAGATTGGCCCCCAACTACTTTTGCACCATAGAAATATTCTGACAATGCTTTTTCAAGCGTCCGGATAACAAATAACAAATAAAGAATTAAAAACGAATCGTGGTAGGAGGCGGAGGCGGAGGTGCTAACTGATCTTCGTTTGCTGGTTCCATAATCTCATATGTCTCCATCACCATTTTGCCTCTAAAGAATATGTTGTAAAACCTGGATTTTCTTAGCACCAATAATAAAATCTTGTAAAAAACACTAAAAACTTACAAGAATTCGTTGATCCAAGAAAAATGACGAGGTGCAGGAAAAATTGAGTGAAAATGTATGGCATTTTTTACTTTTGTGCTCGTCTCATTTGTAAATGGTAATTTTATTAATTTTTCATTTTCCCTTTCCTTTCATTTACTATCTACAAAAAATAAAACGTTCGTCTGTCTGTCTGGCTGTCCGTCCATCGGTCCGTCTGTCCGTCTGTCTGGCTGTCTGTCTGGCTGTCTGTCTGGCTGTCTGTCTGGCTGTCTGTTTGGCTGTCTGTCTGGCTGTCTGTTTGTCTGTCCGTCCGTCTGTCTGTCCGTTCGGCTGTCTGTCTGTCCGTCCGTCTGTCTGTCTGTCCGTCCATCTGTTTGTCTGTCCATCCGTCACGCCTACGCGACAATACAAATTACGTTAACATAAAATTACAACGAAGTGAGCTAGAAAACTGAAAATTTGTACTCGGGGGTTTTCGGGGGTGAGGAATCCGAATCTGCAATTAGATTTGTGCTACGTGCCCTCAGTACCTCTAGGTAGATACAGTACTCTTTCACATCTTTCACAAATTACATCTTACGCATTTTTCTGCTGCCGAGCAATATTTTTAAGTTCATTTTACCTGTATGCTTTTAGGTAAACCGCCGTGTAGCGGATGCCCAGCACAGCCGGCTTTTCAAAAGGATTTGGCAAAGATAGAGATTGGTCGAGGGGAATCGAACGTTCGACTCCTTCCAGGGAAAGCTCTATCCACCCCTCGATCCCTTCCAGACAGACGCTCTACTCACTGAGCCACTGACGCTTAGTTTCCCAGAGGGAAAGAAGCAATCACAATACGTTCGCCATATTTCCCAGCTCGCCAGTTAGCTGTTTGTTCTTGAGTACCAAGCTTTGGAATTTTCATGCTCATGTTCAAATGAGTTATTCCCATGCTCACCGATACTTTGCTCCAAGTAAATTGGAGTCAAAAAGTTGCACACAAAGAATATGACCCCAAATTGGCGTTTGTTTGTTTGATTTGTGATGGTTTATGACCTCAAACAGGGAACAAACTAACGAAAAATTGATAACTGAATATTTTTTGAGAAAAGAGAAAAGCATTGTGATTTCGGAAGCGTCTGAGAGAAGAGTGATATCAGAAGAGGGAGGGAAAAATCAAATTTTACCTCCAGTTTCACTTGCCAAAAGAAAATTAAGAAATGAGGTTACAAATCCGCATTTTTCTATCACTGACATTTTGTCTGACTGTTGATTGTCTAAAAATTTTGCTTTATCAACCAAGTTTCGGGCATTCACATGTGAATTTTGTGGGTAAAGTAGCCGATGTTTTGATCGATGCCGGACATCATGTGGTTTGTTTGATTCGATTCTTTTAGGGATTTGTTCAGAGCTATTTTGAGATCTATTTTGCTTCATGTCGGCTTTAGGTTATTCTACAACCCGACTTCAATCCGAATCACAAGCCTGGATCAAAGAAAGCAGAGGTAGACTTGAGTTTTGGCAATATTACGATAATAGCACTGTCAAGTAACTTGTCAAGGTCAAGGTACTTGTCAAGGTCAAGGTACTTGTCAAGGCCAAGGTACTTGTCAAGGTCAAGGTACTTGTCAAGGCCAAGGTACTTGTCAAGGTCAAGTAACTTGTCAAGGTCAAGGTCAACGTAGCTAAAAGAGTTTAAAACCAAAAGCCTTCGAACTCTTTGTCTTTCAGTTGATTCGAATTTCCCCGAATCCCGAAGTAGCCAAAACGATTAAAGCAGTGGATGAAGGTTTAAAAGTTCGATGGGAGACACCCACTTTCTACTTCTTCACAATGGCAAAGGTTTGCGAAAACAAAAATTGAAAATGAGAGACGAAATTCCCAGATGATGCGCCAGTTTCGAAAGCTCAACTACGAGTTTTGTGATGGTAGAAATAGTATGGTCTAGCTTGAAAAAGAGAAAATTTTAGAATTGATGCAAAACGAGACATTGATTGAGCGGCTAAGGGGATACAATTTCGACTACGCCATGTCACAACCATTTGATGTTTGTGGATTTGGTGGGAAATTGGGATTGAATTCAGCAGTGCGAAGAGTTGGAATTGCATTCAGTAGTGCTCTTATTGTTCGAAAGATTCTCAGCAATGGATGAACGAAGATTAACGAAGCAGATGGCAAACGGCAAGAGGACGAAGCAGAACGGTCCCTTGAGAGGGGCAGAAAAGGTCTCCAATACGCCCCTCCCTCGTGCGGGGGGTTCGGTCCCTGCCTGGGGGCCGTGATTTTGCAAATTCTTGGTGATCTTCTATATCTTCTATAGATGATCTTCTATATGATGACTAGATGATCCAAATCATCCTATATGATAAAGATCCGAGTCTGACCTGTTCGAACAAAAACGATATCGTATTTTTTAGTTTAACCCAACCTCCTCCTCATTTCAGGGATCTTCCATCGTCTCCATCTCGACAAATTCTCAATTCTTCTCTCTACATCAATCAGCAACAGTTTTTCTTCAATGACCGGCGTTCCAGTGGCGCTTAGCTATGTACCAGGTTATAAAACAATAAGAAACTATAAAGTTGTATATTTTAAAGGAATGTCAGGAGACGCATCGGATCGAATGACGTTTTGGGGACGCGCCAAAAACACGATGTCGTTTTTGTTCGAACAGGTCAGACAAGGATCTTCATCTAAATTCAGACTCACAATTAAACTCGGCTTTTCATCTAAAAATCCTAATTTTTTTGATGTAAATCCTTTCCACCAACGTTAATTCCTTTTTCAGTTTGCTGTTGGATCAATGATAAGTCAAGTGGACGATCTCATCAAGAAATACGATCCAGAGTACCCTGGTGGATTGGTAAAGAAAGAAAAGTTTTCAGAAATCAAAAATTTCAGGAGCAATTGAATCGTGCGTGCTTTATGATGCCAAATACAGAGCCACTCTTCGAATTCCCAATGCCCACGATATATAAAATTATCAATATTGGCGGGATTTCAGTTCCACCTCCATCAAAAGCAAAAATCACAGAGGTTTGACTATCAAACTGTTCTTGCTTTAATCAATCAATCAATCAATCAATACCATTTCAAATAGGAATGGAATGAGATTCTCAACCTACGTCCACACACAATTCTCATCTCTTTTGGCTCTTTATCAAAAAGTGTCGACATGCCAAATGACTTCAAAATCGGACTTGTCGAAGCAATGAAAGAGTAAAACATTATTCAAAGTTCGACTCTTTCACTCTTTCACTTCAGACTCCCCGACGTGACTTTCATCTGGAAATACGAGGATCCAAGCGATGAAGGAGTGAAGAGAGGAGCTGAGAATATCATTCTAAACAAATGGGTTCCACAAACAGACTTGCTGAGTATGTAAAGGGAAACGAAGCAAATTATTTAAAAATTGTGACAGGTGATGAGCGATTGAGTGGATTTATGACACATGCCGGAGCGGGAAGTACAAATGAGTTGGTGCTTCGTGGGAAAAAAGTTCGTGCTACAAGTTGGCAAACCAAATGAAAAAAACATTTAGGCAATTCTAATCCCAATGTTCGGTGATCAACATCACAACGCTCGAGTGATCGAAAAGCACGGTTCGAGTATTCTCTTGGAGAAAAACGATCTCAAAGATCAAGCAACACTGACAAAAACGATTCGCCAACTACTCCACGATCCAGAGTTTGCACAAAAATGATTGAGCTCTTCAAAAGCTTTTCAGACTTGATAAAGCCGCCAAGCATTTGGCCAAAATGATCGCCGAGAGACCGATTTCACCACAAGAGCAACTCGTCAAATTTACCGAATTTGCGGCTAAACATGGTTTGAAAGGATTCATATACAATTAATAACAAATAACAGGTCCATTTCCTCAGCTCGATCCCTACGGAAGACAACTTTCGATTTTTACTTTTTACCTCGTCGACATAATTTTCTCAATTATCGTCATTTTCTTCATTTTTGTTTTCGTATTAGCTTACATCTTCAAAAAAATCTTCTCGAGATCTTCTAAAACAAAAACGGATTAACTTCCTTTATTTTAGGCTTGTTTTAGTGAATAAAAATTTATCACAGAGAATACTTAGCATGCCCGTATGATAGAAACCCATATTTCAAAAATAAAGGCAAAATAACACAGAGGGTTGACTAGAAAGATGATAAATGATAAATAGACAATAAATGTTAGAAAAGTTAGTTTGAAAATAAATTTAGATAGCTACCTAAAAAAGTTTTGAATGCAAAATGCTGTTCTAAAAACCTTAGTCGCTTTCGAAATGGAGAATCTCCCATGGTGCTGGTGGTGTCCGATGTCGCTCAAGATCGTAAAATGTGTGATTGATTGGCGCGGTGATTCGAATCTAATTGATTTCAATTCGAATACACTAGCAAAAAAACCTACCGATTTTCCTGGATTTGCTTCAAAATAATTGATCCACTTTTGCCCGCTTGCACCAACAAGGAATGCAGCCCATATGTCAGGATGGCGTTCCGTTTCATCACCTAGCATGTCGATATGTCCATTTTGCCAACGATCATCATCTAAATGAAAAAATGTGTTCTGGTAAAATAAAAATCCTTTACCAACATCCGTGGCAATCATCAACACGGCACCGGCTTTTTCCGCCTGAATAGCTTTCTCGACAAAAGTGCAGCCACCACGTTTCACCAATAATGCAAAATATGGCTAAAATCGAAATATTTCCATGAGGGTTTATGTAGTTTAAACTCACAGGTGGATGAACCCAAAAATTATTCAATCGAGAGCAAGCATTCGGTGGATTGGCAAAATAAACAGGCAAGCTAAATAAATGATCTTTAAAGAAATACAAAATTAAAGTATATTTAGGCCAAGTACTTACTCATTGGTTGGATGCGATGGGAAGATTGGACCAATATTGGATGAAGGCAACAATTCATAGGCGTAGGCCAATTCACGTGGTGACTCAACGATTGCAAAAACGTATGAAGAAACGAAAACCTCGTAGGAAAACGTCAACGCAAACTAAAAAAATCGTGAGATAGTTTTTTAAACCCATAGACTTAAACTTTGCTTTACTTTTGTTTATTTTAGGTTGCTAATAGACAAATTTACCAGAAATCCGATCGCAGCAACTAATAAAAACGTCCGACCACCCATTTTCTTTTGCGAATCACGCGAAAAACAGACACAAAGGCTAAAGTAACTGATAAGGTTCCCCTCCACTTTAAACTTTTGATAAAGACAGTTATTCGCTCAAACAAAACCGCGCAGATTAACCAAAACGTGCTTTTTTCTAAACGAGAAAATTTATTAAACAAACTCTAGATTTACACAACTAAACTAATACAATCTAATCAAATCAAAAACAAGAACAAGTAAGCGATAACAAAAAAAGTTTAATTGAGAATACCCGTTTATGGAGAACATTTGATGATATCACTTGAAAAAAAAGGAAAATTACAGAATCCTAAGCAACAAATTAAAGGAACAAATCGTTATCGGCAACATGAGCTCACAAACAAAAGAAAACAAATATAAAAACCTATTTATCGAAAATGCAATTTAAATGGCGAGTGGTGCTTCTTGCATATGGACTTCCAGTAATTTCCAGGCCAAAGTTGGATTAAACTCCTCCATATCTCTGCACATAACCCAAACATGTGTCACTCGAACGGGGTTATTCTAAAGGTTTATCTGCTTTACTTTTCAAGTCTAATCAACTCACCGGATCTCCATGCACTACTTTTCCCTCGGCATTTTTGACAACATTTATCATGAATGCCTAAATAGGTATTTAAAAGCTGTATAGCCTTCCAAACCTGAAAAGTTATGATTAGCACCGGTCCGTGCTCCATCATTTTACCAGAAACGAGCTAAAAATTCTTGCAATGTGAGCGCATGACAAAAACCAACCTCCACTTTATTGATATCAATAATTCGGCTGTCTTTTGTGCTGAAGTGGATTTTCTTGTACTCTTTGATCACATTTGACATCGCCACAAATGCCTAAATCGAACAAATTACATAGAATGAAGGAGATAAATACCCTCTCGTAGCACCAATCCTCAAGCACCTCCGCGTCCATGCGAATGAAAGCTTCAAGGATATTGGGAATCACTTCTTTTTCGCAAAATCGTAACCAATCCAACTAAACTTCGATGAAATAGACACAAAACAGTATAAACCTTGTCAAATTTCGGATCGATTTTTGCAATTTGTGTGAGAACTTCGGAGACTTCATTACTTCCGCCTAAAATTTACTATTTTTGTACAGTTAAAAAATTTCTCACTGAAAACGCCAGCAACTCGTTCGGTAATTCCACGAAGTAGTCGCACACCGACATTGTCGCTTTCGTCATAGCGGATTTTCCAGTCAAGCAATTCTAAAACACGCGATTAGCAATTTTCCTATTCAATAACTTCAAGAACCAGTTTCTTCAAGAACAAGAAAACTTACTGTTATAGTATTTGTTTTCCTCGCTAAACTTTTTCCAGCCTTCATACCACTTCGAATCTTTGTGTAGTTGAATGTCAGTGGCATCACTAAAGATAATTCCCATTTCTTTTGTGTCCAGAAGTCACTTACTCGTTAGCCGCCACGTTTCTTTTCTCCCATTCCTTGCTCAAATCGTTTTCACTTCGTTTTTTCAGTGTTTCTATAACAAAACTTGCACTTGAATTGCTACAAAACGAACCTGGCCGGCTGTACATTCGTACATCAGTAATGTTGTCAATCTCCTTTTGTACCGTTTTAACACCCTAAACAAAGCGTTATTTTGACAAAGCTGATACGTTCTTTTAGAAACTCGACACCTTAAAGCAGCAATACCAACTCACCGTTGAAACAGTCTTGTAGACCTCCGTATCCCCGACTTTCTCGGCAACCTTCTCGATTTGTTCAGCTGCAGCTCGGGCCTAAGTTGAAAGAATACGGCTGTGATCAAAACCTTAATTTTATCAAACACCGAATGACCTACTTGTTTTAACGCCTCTTCACCGGCAGCCGTCAGCTTCTTTCCAGCCTCAGTCTTTTGAATTTCTCTCACCATCTAAAAAAATTATCATTCGAAAGAATTAATGACATTACCTTGGTCATCTGGTCTGTTAGCTCTTGCATTTTCACTTTGATCACTTCAGAGCTTTTGAAACTCTCCTTTTCCACAATATCCTAAACAAAACAACATTAATAGCACAAATTTCTCCAACTTACAAATTTCTTTCGGGCTTCTTTGAGAGCCTCTGAATCGTTCAACTCTTGCATTCTCTCGTTAAGTTTCTTTTTGCTCTCCTAAAAATAATTTTTCCCGACAAATCAGAAATCGTTACCTGTAATTCCTTGTTTCGCTCAAGTTCCTCGCGAACATTGTCAACCAAATTTCCGAGGAAGCCTTTTTTGCCAGGTGGAGCACTGTAGAAGCGTCTTTGTTCGAAGTCCAATGGTGGCATTGCTATTCGAGCGTGTTCGAAGCGCTAAACGTTACATATTAAGCCAAGAATAAAACAAATGTTTCTTCAAGATTTTAATCATAAGTTATGCGATGATTTTAATCATAAGTTAAAGTTATGCGCATAATTAACATCAGCAAAGCATACCAGTGGTGCAAAAGTGCGAATCATCGGTATTGTCGTAGTTTTGATGGCTCGAGCCACGAAAAGAGCTCTCATCATTTCTAAGCAAGAAAAAGTATAATAGTAAATGAAACCGGAACTAAAACCGAAACCAAAACCAAAACCAAAAACAAGAAGCTTTTTGAACTTATGAAAGTTGAATCAAGAAGAAAAGAGTTCAACTACCATTTATTTTACATATCTTTTTACTTTTTAAGATATTCAGTTAAAAGGATGAAATTCTATAGTTTTAAAATAAATTTTTAAATTTTCCTCACTTTCTAACACGAAATCAAAATTTTCCTATGATGTAAATTGTTCTCGATTCTTTCACAAAAATAAATCATAGTGGATGGGTGCCCCAGAAAATTCGTAATTTGTAGTGTTTTGGCTCAAATTTCGTATGAAGCTTCGGTTGTTTATAGGCTTAAAATTTTAGAATCTTTAATTTCTTTAAGTTCCGTTTTTTCAGCCTTTATTCTAATTCTTTAGGCTAAATTGAAGTTTACGGTCCAGTCTCAAAACTTAGTTTTTTTTTGCTTTTTATTCTAGCTTACCAGTATTAGTTGTGCACAAAAACACAAAAAAAGTTTGGGGAAACGATTTCCGCTCCAAAAAATAACACCTTATAGTTGGACCGTAAACTTCAGCCCCCATAGTGAAGCTACGATCCATATTAGTACAAAAACAACCCATACCTTTTTGGAGCGTTGATCCTTTATGCTAATTTATTTTTTTTGGGTGCCGCATGTATCCCATTTGTGACGTTAATTACCTCGGAAAGCCCCTTTAGCTAAGCCTAATTAATAAGAAAATAGTATATGGGTTATACAAAGTAAATAAAAAAGAAAGGTTTTGTCCTCCCGTGAAATTTCCTCTCCCGACTAATTCACCCGACTCGTAAAGCTATTTGGCAGTCATTTAACTGGATATCTTTTAGAAAAGGATCGTAAACTTCACTATGGGGGCTGAAGTTTAGGCTCCAACCATAAAATGCTAAATTTTGGCGCGCAAACCATTTTCCCAAATTTATTTTGTGTTTTTTGCTCACAACTAACACAGGCAAGACGAATTGAAAAGAGATTAATCTTTTTTGAGCCTGGACCGTAAAGTTCAATTTAGACATTCTTTATTCTATCTCGATCCGATCTCCCGAACGTCTCTAGCGTGTCAACTTCACGAACGTTGAATGGTTTGCGATAAATGTAAGTGTGTTTTGTTATCGATTTTGGCCTTGATTTTTAAAAATTAAGTTGATTTAAAGCTTACTGAATAAACCAATTCATTTACTCTTTTAGGTAAAACGAAACTGACGAAGCTTATCGGCGTTGATCCCTACCGAAACAAGCCCCACAATAAACCCGTTGGCGTTACCAAAAACAAAGCCACTGGTCTTCAAAATAAATGGCTCGGCAGCGAAAAGAAGTGAGTTGTTTTTTAAATAAACATTACTTATAAGAATAAACAGTAAAATACAATTGTGCATGCGTTACAAACTAACAAGGGAAGGATGATTGGATCCCGTGGCCTTTTCCGATGATATATTGGCATTTGACGCAGAATTTTAAGCTGATTCCAATGATGTAAAAATTAGCTCCACGAAACCCAATCATCCTTCTCTTGTAAGCATAACGAGATGCGTTTTTGTCTTAAAAACAGCTTTTAAAAGAGTTATTTACCTAATTTTCATGCTCATTTTTCAATTCAGAGCCGGCATCGTTGGTGTGAAATGCAAGATTTGTAAGCAAAGTTTACATCAGGTTAGTGTTTTATCTACATAATATATAGTAAAAGAAACGTCGACATTTAATTTAATTTTAACGACTTATAGAAACGGGTTTTATTAGTTTCTTGACTGTAAACTTTTTTTAGGTGGGATCGCACTATTGCCAGAATTGTGCCTTTCAAAAGGGAATTTGCGCGATGTGCGGCAAGAAAATAACCGATGTTTCAATGTCACGGCAAACCGTGGTTTAATTTGAATGTGAAATGTATGTTTTCCATTATTTATTTCCCTTGAAACGTGTACATTCTCTAAATTTTATGTATTTTATTTACTACTCGTGATAAAAATTGTTTTTCCCCGAACCCAATACATGAAAAATGGGTGCTTTGGTGGTTGGGAGGGGCCACTTTTTACTTGGCTTCGTCGAATCTAGTGTTTTAAGGGGTTCGTGTCGGTACTTTTCTTCTATTCCGGGGTAGTTCTATATGCTGAAGCGATTGGTGCTAATTTTAGAGTATTTCCAACATATTTCAAGTTATTATTGCAGCTTTTCAAGTGTAACCAGTTTTGAGATAACGTTCGGTGGTTAAAGCAGGCTAGGACACAGCAAATCATCGAATAGGATTATCAAAAAAGTGCTTAAATTAGCGCCAATCGCTTCAGCAGGTATCTCTTTCTTCAGAATAGAAGAAAAGTATCGACACAAACCGCTCAAAACACTAGATTCGACTAATCAAGCCAAAAGTGACCCCTCCCAACCACCAGAGTACCGAAAAATGTAAATGCAAACGACTCTTGTGTTCGCCATTATCAACAGAAATTGTATAGTGAAAATTTCTTATTACCCCATCAAGTGTTTGCCATAATACGATTGAAATGTGCTTGCTTACAAAAAAATAGAGAAAAAGCGTGCTTTTTCTTGTGAGTTTCGTGTTACTTTCTCGAGTTGTCGGGTGCTCTCCTTTCTGCTTATTCTTTTCGAATGCCCGTTTTTTGGGTCCTAGGGTCGGGCCACCGCGCAGATCAGAAAGAGGCCAAAAGAAACGAAAAAGAGGAGGGAAGACAACGTGAGAGGAGCTCCCCTTCACTACGCCTAAAATATTTCTCAATTCAGGCAGAAGTTTACGTTTTACTTTAACTGCAATGACATCGGCAAATTTTGGTTTTTGATTTTTGATTTAGCATTCAATGTGTCCTCAAAGTATATAATTTATTTTTAGATTTAGGGTAACAAAAAGCACTATTATAAAGCAAACGATGTACTTATGTTTCAAAAACTTCAAAAACAAAACATTCTTGTCTTATTTACCTGTAAAAGTTCCTTTTGAATCACGTCATCAATCATATCTTTTGCATCCATTTTTCTCGCACTATCAAATTTCTTCCATTTTCCTGGTTTGGGCTGAGAAAAATAAATAGACCAAAGATTTCTCCACATTGATCGAATCCACGAAAACGTCATTGAGTTCCATTCGATAGTTCGATGATTCAATGTGAATCATCGAATCATTGTTGAAACATTTGACGACGAAATTAGAGGAGAATTCTTTTTGAAACCCCTTGATTTTATTGCTTTTCAATTTTCTCTGCAATTATTAATACAGTGGAACCTCTCTATAACGTAACTCACGGGACGGCTATAGCTTACGTTATATAGAGGTTTACGTTATATAGAGTGCCGTTTTATTGCTTAACGTCGGCCGGGACCGGTCACGCCTTACGTTATAGAGAGGTTTACGTTATATCGAGGTTCGTTATAGAGAGGTTCGACTGTACAAGGTTTTCTAGCCAAGTTTCTAGCCAAGTTCTAGCCAAATCAACGTAAAAATATGGTAAATTTGCATAAAAAACAAACTACCATTTATATCAAGCCTGATTTCATAACCCCAAATAGGCAAGTTTTCGCTATAAATTTCAAAAGGCTCTCATTTTGGTCGATTCTCTTGAAAAAAAAGTCCAGAGAATTCACCTGGTAACCAAGCAATTTCTCCCTTTTCTTTAAATAAAATTATTTCCCTTCTATTTGATTTTTTTTTCCTCTTTCTCAATTCGTTGTCACGCACACCAATTAAAGTCAAAAGTTTTTTGAAAACTTCCACTTTTCTCAGATTTTCATTCGTTGTTCTCAGATTTTTAAAATTGATTTAACTTTTTTTTCAATCAAAAGATTCACGATGATTTTACAGCTCAATCAAAAAAGTTTTTGATTTGAATAGTGGGAAAGGATGGATTGGATAAATCTAAATCTTCAAAGTTTACCCCATTTTCCTCAACAATCAAGTACCAATCTCTTTTATACTCGTTTTTTACACGTTTTTTTTTACATGCCAAGTTTTTGTCTCAAAGAGCTCATTGTGAATCACCTGAATCAAAAAAAAGCCATTCGAGGTACAAAAATCGTGTGTATTGCGCATTGATTCAGAAAAGCGAGCTAACAAGACCGTTTTGGGCATTCAATTTTAAGGGTGAAAGGGGGTGGAGAAAGGAAAAAGAGGGGGACGGTGGACTTTACTCGTGTAAATAAACGAGAAGAGGGCGAGACAGCGAGAAGGCTCACACAGATCAGTCGATTCCTCTTTTCCTCTTTAAATTGATTTGACCCGAGACTCTCACTCAAATGAAATTTTTTCACTTAAGTTGCTAAGCGTTAAGTATTTCCTTATTTGCGGTTTTTCACCCATTCCAACTCGAGATCTTTAACGTTGATCCTGTCATTGCCATTAGCATCATTACCACTATCATCATTACCATTATCATCATTACCATTTATATGTCGTAGCCGATTATGAATTTCAGCCGATTATAAATGAGTGGGTCTAGGAGCATCCAACCATCAAGTATTTAGTATCATTCAACGCAGAATCATGAATAATTATGTTAAATTTTTTAAATTAGAAAGATTGGATAAAAAGAAAAAAAATTATGGGGCTTCAAAGTTTTCTCTTGAACAAACATTTTTTTTGCTCTAACTTTTTTTCTTTTTATCCAATCTTTCTAATTTTAAAAATTTAACATAATTATTAATGATTCTGCGTTGAATGATACTAAATACTTGATGGTTGAATGCTCCTAGACCCACTCATTCATAATCGGCTACGGGGGTCCCGCCGATTTTGAATGAAACGTTGTAGCGCCGGCAATTTTTAACCTAAACTCACAAATTTGGTACCAATCGACGCAGAATTTAATTCGCTACAAGATCATATAATATTGTCCTCATACATTAAAGGGTTGCTCTACTAGAAAGATTTACCAAAAAATTTCATTCATAATCGGCTACGACATATACATGTTGAAACTTTTCTGTTAAATGTTAAATGCCTAATGTTTCTTTCATTTCTACATCGTTGACCTTTGTTGAAACTTCAAATTTTCATCTTTTTGATTTGATCGTTGTTTGGCCTAAGTTTGATTACTTAAGCATGTTGCCATGATTCTTTTCGTTCCTCGAGTTTAAAAACACTATTCTTTGACATGTGCTTTGAAGGGTAAAGCTAAAGTGTTTTCCTCGTGATTAAATAATTAATTGAAGCTTACAATAAAACAGCTTACAACAAATTTTTAATCAATCAATGAATTTCTGTCTCAATTTCTTTGTCTCAATTACTGCGTCAATTAAACAAATTGATGCATATAAAATTAATAGGCTGAATATCTTTTACTTGTGAAGAGATAGTTATAAAGAGCGCGTTTGCAGCTAATATGGGGGGGGACAAATGCGACCTTTTGTTTGCGCACCTGGACATTTGCGCACCTTTTTTTTGCTGGAAAAGGCCTTAGGCAAGGCCGTAGAGCTTCGAAAATATTTCCATATAGGGGAATCGTATGCGTAGATTCCGAATTTCGACAAATCAGACCTCGCGACACGTCAAATTTGGGCTAAAAGGCAAAAACTACGCAACTTAACGCTTTTCCGCAGTTTTTGCCTTTTAGCCCAAATTTGACGTATCAGCGAGGTCTGATTTGTCGAAATTCGGAATCTACGCATACGATTCCCTTACATGGAAAAATTTTCGAAATATTTTCGAAGCTCTACGGTCTTTCCTAAGGCCTTTTCCAGCAAAAAAAAGGTGCGCAAATGTCCAGGTGCGCAAAAAAAAGGTCGCATTTGTCCCACCCCCGCTAATATGCTTTCATTTTGGGGTAGGCTACTTTCCGCCATTTTATTTGCGCAACAGGGTCATTTGCGCAACTTTTTTTTGCACAAAAAGGGTCATTTGCGCAACTTGATTTGCGCAACTGGGTCATTTGCGCAACTTTAACACTGTATTAAGCACTCGAATTTTTAATCATTATTTTCATTTTTGAGCTTTTTTTTATTGTTTTTTATTTTCTTCTATTTTTTATGAAATCTTCCAATTTTTTTGCATAATCTTCCAATATTTATCTAAATTAGTCCTTTCTAGGAGCTAATAACCATTAGTAAAATATTTTATCGCTTTAACAAAAAAGTGCAACCGATAACAATGAAAGTTAGGACAACAATAGCAATGAAATTTAGGACAACAATAAAAATCAAGTTTTTTTAATATAAGTCAAAAGCTGAGAAAGATGTTTCACAAAATCGCAACCGGGCAAGCGACCATTAGAAATAGCAGTAAAACGTTGCTTTTGTCGAGCCAATACAGTTTTCTTCCGTGTGTAATTTTGTCCAACAGTGAGATTGATAGCCGATGAAAGCTTGAAACGGTTGATTATTTGCGTCATTTCTTCGTAAAGTCTGACCGCAGTATACGATGGATGCGGATTCTTGGGAAAATGCGGAAAATTAGTTAACAATGGTTTTTAAGAATAAACAAAACCGTACTAGAATTTTAAACAACAAAAAAAAAACGTCAAAAACTCCCTTAAAAAAAAACGTCCCTTAAAAACGTCAAAAAAGTTGCGCAAATGACCCTGTTGCGCAAATAAAATGGCGGAAAGTAGCCTACCCCTTCATTTTTATGTGTACTGTTTATTGTTTATTGGACTATGTTTTAGTTTTTTTACTTATTTCATCGATTGTTGTAATGATTGTTGAATTTTTTGTTTCGTATGATATTATTATTATATTATATTATTTAAAACACTTAAACTTAAATACAAAGATTTAAACAAAATTTTTGAATATTTAGCAATTACGAAGAGCAGGGGGATTAGAGAACACTAAAAAACAGCTGTTTAAAAAAGAAAAACTTAAAGGGAGTCGAACCCCCGACCTACAGCTTTGTATCCTACAGCTTTGCATCCTACAGCTTTACAAGGAATG